GAGGGGCAAGGCTACTTCATGGGAAGGGGAGCAGAGGAAGGGAAACAGTCTGGGGTCAGGGCTAGAAGCCACTGCCCCCACCCCCAGGTACCCAGAAAGGCCTGGGGCCCCTGGCCTTGGAAGAGACAGCTGCAGGGAGGGCACAGTTGCCACCACAGAGCCCCTGCTCAGAACCCAGCACCCACCTAACTCCTCCCACCACAGGGCCCCTCGGAGTCTGTGAAATGCTCCTCAGCAAGCCTGCGTGGAGAACCCAGGCCAGTCCCCCTGCAGTGCCCACCTCCCATGGTAGGTGTTCAGCAAGTACGGAGCTGTTCTTCATGAGAACAGGATCCCAGGCCAGCAGTGCTCATACAAGGGGGTGGGAGATGGGTATCTGGGAGGCTGGTCTGTCCGTGTCCCCAAGAGTGGGGGACATGGGAGGCGAGGGACTCAGAGACTCGGGCGCTGTTACCTGTATCCTGTCTTCTGGCAGCTCCGTTTTCATGGCCAGCATCTCCCGGGCATAGACGTCTGGGTAGTGGGCCTCGTTGAACGCCTTCTCCAGCTCCTCTAGCTGGTAGGAGGTAAAAATCGTCCTGCAGAGAGCAAATGGATACTCAGGACCCTGGAAACCGAGGAGGCTGTCCCAGAGAGGACAGAAGGCCCTTCCCTGTGCCTCCTGGACAGACCCCAAACCCAGGCGCTCAGCACAATCAGTCACACACACACACACACACACACACACACACACACACACACACGCTCCCATGCGCACGTGCGTGCACATGTGTTCGCACACACACTCAGCCTAACCCTCTGGACTTTTCTTCTTTCAAGGCTGAGGACCCCAGTGCCCTTCCGATGGTGGTGGGGGATTATTTCAGCCCTCGGGGCATCTCATTGTAGGAATCTTTCTGGAAGATTGCTTGTGGGGAAAGGGTGTTAGATAGACATCTGAGAAAGCTGCAGAAGGCCCCTCTTCCTCCTGCCCCGCACAGGGCCACAGGCGAGGGGGCGCCAGGTAAATAAATGCCTCACCCGCTAGGACCTGCTCCCTGGGCTCCTCTGACAGTTGATCTTTCACACTGCACCCACCCGAAGATCAAAGGCAGCTGCCACCCCAGTGTTTATGCAACTGAGGACTGAATGTCCCTCCCTTGCAACCCACCCAACACTCCGCCCTCCTCACCTGCCCCTGCCCCGGGCCCACCAGCTCCTTAAAGCTGCTCTCCTAATTGTAGGGGTGAGGAATATGAGGGGGAGGGCGCCCAGACCCTTCCGGGGCTCAGAAGCCAAGAGCTGCCTTCCAACCATCCCCTCCCCCCCCACACACACACAAGCTGGGGAGGCAACCCAGGGGGGCCCATTGGGGGAGTTGCACTCAGGTGACCCTGAAATAACCTACCTCCACAGCGCCCCTTCCCCCCCACCCCACAACTGAGCAGTGAAGAATCTGATAAAAGCTATATCCTTTCGCCTGCCCTAGGAAAATGTGCAAACGAATATGCTCCGACACATAACATTTCACTTCCACTACCAGGGGGTTCATAGACCTCCTTTCCTGCATAAACACACTACATATCCACCTGCAGACACAAAGTCTTCTTTCTTCAGACCTTAATTTCACCAAGTTCTGGGTGACCTTTCTCTCAGCCACAAGTCAGCGGGCGATAGCATCCCACACACTCAACTCATACACATGGTACCTTCCCTGCTGGAGCCTCTGGGACTTGGGACTCCGGGGCAGCACAGGGGTTTAGAGCCCCTCACTGCTGCTCGCACACGCCCCCGGCACAGGAACAAGTGCAAAATTCAGCCCCCGTTCCTTGTGCTGGTTTGTCTTCCTGTCTCAGGGTCTGATGCAGGGGATTGTGAGGAAGAAGGATTCTGCTCGCTATAGAAAACGACTGGTTTGATTCTAAATCGTTTCTCCTCTCCTCTTGGGGGTGGGGATGGAATGCTTTTGTAAACAAAGTTATTTCTTCAGAATTTTGAAGAAATTCGGTTTCTCTCTTGCCACTTACTGAAAGGTCCCCCTACACACAGTGTCAAAATAAACAATCGAAACACGCAAGTCCCTTGCAAAACTCGGGAAACTGAAGCAAGCACATAGGTGTTGGGGCCACAGCCAAAGAGAAGAGCGGACAATAGGCTGTTTAAGACCCTTCCTGCGCCCGCCCTCTGCTTAGGAGAGCTCCAGCTCGCACTCAAAACAAAACAAAGCCTCAGATCCCCCAAACTTCCCCCCATTCCTGTCGCAGAGCCAATCCCTGCTCCCCAGGACCCTCCCTGCGCTCCCACAACGTTACCCAGAAAACCTGCTCCTGGTTTTCTGCAGAAACCCAGACCTTCGGGTCCCCACGGTCTCCTGCCTGAGCTTTCCGGGTACAGAGATGAGGAAAAGCCGAGACTCCCAAGGCTGCTGGCCCATCCCCTCTCCCCTGGCCAACCCGCATAAATCTGGGTGTTTCTGGGAAATAAGTAATGCCCGTCTCCTCTCACCAGATTCCAGGATCCCTTCCCTGAAATCCCCAAACGAGAGGAGCTCAGAATAACGTTTGCATCCTTTTTAAAAAAACTAATTAAAAACTGCACTGGCCATCAGTAGCCATTCTCCTCCCTCCACTAATCGGCTTCCTTCATGCACCAGAAATAGCCAGAAACCTAGGGCAGGTGTCGAGTCCTCCAACGCTCGCACCTGTCTCCCTGGTGGAGAGGGTGGCAGGCGAGGGCAGAGGGCCAGGAGCCTGAAGCATGGCCTTCGGGCTGTGGGTCAGCCAGCTCCGAGTGCCACACAGGGCGGCGTCCTCTCAGGGCGGCGTCCTGACGCAGAAACGCTGTGGGGCACCCAGGGTCTGGGCATGCTTTCCCCAGGGCTCTTCTTGCCGTGGGAGCCCCTCTCTCCTTCCCCCTCGCACCAGCGCAGAAGCAGTTCAGCGGACACGTCCTTCCCCCCTGGCCTGGTCCCTGTCCTTGGACTCAGAGGCTGGCAGGACCACCCACCCTGGGACCGGCATGTCGTGGGTGCAAACAAGGTGTCTTAATGAATATTCGTTGGGTAAATGGATGTAAAAAATGACCCAGGATCAGGACCAAAATAAAATGTTTCCGTTTAAAAGAAAACAAAACAAAAACAAACAGCTGACTGGAGAGAAGGAGCGAATCAAGGTCATGGGGAAACCAAGCCGAAGTTCACTCGCAGGCAGGCGGGAGCCTGTTGGGGTCTGAGGGCTCAGGAAGAGCCCTTTAAAAGGTGGGGGTGAGTAGTGCGGTTCCCAAGGGTGAAGGAAGAGGGGCAGGCATGAAAGCGCCCAGAGAAAGGGTGCGATGAGGCTGAAAACAAACTGGGGTGAAAGACCAAGGAGGCAGGGGGAGAAGGGGGAGCTCCTTGGGGCGAAATGCCCTGAGAGCCCATGGGACCCACCTGGGCGCCCCACCTGGCCCTCTGCAGAGGGAAGTTTGGGAAAACAGCCCCGGGTGAGCGCAGGGACAAGCAGCACTCGCAGGAAGTCGGTCTGATGTTTGGTTCTTGCCGCTTTATTTTCTTTAAAAGCTTCTGGTAAATTTACACAAGAACTTGGTGCTGATGGCCAGGGGCCTGCGGGCCTGGGGTGAGGGGATTGCTTGTCAGGATATAGCTTTTCGAAGGGACTGAATTTTAACTCTGTGCCAGTAACGCCTCTTTACAGACGTGTTTTTTAAACTCTCTTTTCAGTCTGTACCCCAGTGCAGCCCACTCCACTCCAGCGAGGGCGGGTGGCGTCATCCAGTCCACACATTCCCCCGTCTTTCCCCATTTTACAGACAAGGAAACTGAGGCTGCGGAAGGGAAGCTACCTTGAGGACCACAGAAAGAGCAGAAGCCTAACGAAAACGTCCCATCGATGCACATGGCACGCTCGAGCTTTGGGGAAAGGTGGGAGCAGGGCGGTAGCGAACTGTGAGCACAACTGTGAGCACAGGGGCCGCGGGAGAGGAAGGCGGCCGGGACGGAGGGCAGAGGAGCCCGCCCGGGCGGGAGGTGGGAGCCGAGCTGCCCGCGTGCATGGCTCTCGGATGTGCAGGTGCCTGGAAGCACCTGGGAGCTGCCAGCCCCTGTGGCTCTGGTTTTCTGCGGGGCCTTCCCTTTCTCCCAAAGGAGGAGGAGAAAGCCTGGCCCGGTGCGCCTCCCTGGCGGCCTCTCACCGTCCTCGCGGGGCGCAGCCCGCCCCAGGGCCCGGGGGTCACCAAACAACGCCCGCTCCCCGCGCCTGGGCGCAGCCTTGGACCTCAGATCTGACGGCGGCGAAAACGGAGTCCGAGAGGCCCGACCCCCACGGGGGACGCGGGGCCGGGAGCAGGAAGGCGACGGGAAGACCAGGGGCCTTACCTGTGCCGCCGCTTCTTCCGCTTCTTGGTCTGGGCTAAGGCTGACTTGGGCATTTTCCGGTCGCTGGAGGAGACATCTTCAGAATCTGGGAAGCGGACGGAGACATGCGGCAGCAGCGGGGGCGCGCTGGGCAGCGCTCGGGAGCCCCGGGAGCCCCAAACCCGGGGTCCCAGCCCACGCCGGCCGCCTCGGGGAGCGGCGGGGACCCGCTCGGCCTCCCCGGGAAGCCTTCTGCGAGATCGACCCCATCCCTAAGCCCTGGCTGGCCCTGCCCAGGCCGGCGCCCCGCTCCGGGGGTTTGGAGCAGATTTCGTTGTAAGAGAGGCCAAGGCCCTGCGCTCTGGGGGCAGGGGTAGCGGGGGACGAGGCCGCTCCCGGGGTGTCAGGGTGACCCCCGAGACGTGCCGGGCCCCACGCCCTGCCCCTCGCTTGCAGCCCGGTTGTCCGGGGACCTAAAAGGGGCCCCAAGGAGCGGAGCCGGGGCGCAGGTAGCTGGCGCGGCGGTGCCTGCACGATGCGCCCCCGCTCGGGACTGGAGACGCCGCGCCGCGACTCTTTTCGTTATTTTCCAAATAAAAATAAATAAAACGGTAACGGAAAATCGGGGGAATTTTGGGCGCCAACAGAGCCGGGGGCCGGAGCGGGCTGGGACGCGAGGCCGAGAAATGGGTCTGGGAGGGTGTGGCTGGGTCACTGGGGACCCTGCGAACCCCGAGGCGCCGGGATCCCCTAAACAGTGGCGCTCAGGAGGAATCAGACCGGGCCGACCCAGCCGCCTCGGTGGCCAGTTGTCTAAGCTCGTGGGGTGAAAAACCCCCACAAACCCTGACAAAATCGGGAAGGGAGTTTGGAACGGAGAGAAGGAAGGAAAAGACAACTTTGGGCACCGGGGCCGGGGCGAAGCTGGCACCCGCTTCGGGGCCATCAGCGCACGGAATAGAGCGCGTTCTCCAGGAGGCTGGGGCCGCCGCGGAGCCGAGAAACTGGGGGCTCCCGCCCGCCCCAAGGGCTCTGACATCCCCCAGCCCAGTTTCCAGGGGATCCCCAACTGGGCGCCGCACCAGAGCCGGGACCAGCGCAGGGACGCGAGAGCACCAGAGGCCCCGACGCCCTGCTCAGCGGCTGCAAGTGGACGCTCTGCGGGTCGGACAGCACTTCGAGGAAGGTGGGCTGCGCGTAGAAGCCGGGGAGCCCCCCGGGCCCCAGCAGCCCCATGCCGCCCACTCCCGCGGGGC